CTCACAGAGACCCCCCCACAGCTCTGCCCTCCCCTCACAGAGACCCCTCTCCTCTCACAGAGACTCCCCTCCTCCTGCTGCCAGCGCTGGGCACGAACACGTGATACGGACAGGAACAGGAAAAAGTAAGGAAAACAAACTGTGTTCTCTCCCGGCTGTGGGGAGGAGTGGTGGGTGTCTGTGAGCAGACTAATGCGCTGTTGTCTTTTGAAAATGGTGCAAAACTCCTTGTTTGTGCTCAGTCCTTGTTTGTGCCCCCCCCCAGGGGGCTGAGGAAGGCTGGCTGTGCCCTGTGCCTCCCTCCCTGCCCTCGCACAAGTGAGCAGGTCCTGGGATGTGGGGGCAGGTGCAGCGTGCCCAGACGTGCGGGATCATTACTTCAGGAATTAAGCTGTCTGCACACAGAGCTGGCACAGGCACAAGTGGTGTGTCTGGGTCTCCAGGTGGTCTGGGTGACATCAAAGCCTGTGCCACCAGAAACAAGGGATCTTCCACACCTTCTGTGCCATCTCTGCTCTGGGATGCATGGCACTAGCAATCTGTCTGTGGCAAACCATGTAGATCCTTAGGATTGTACATTACTGCAGTGGCCAGGATAGAGGAAATCAGTATGAGTAAGACAGAGGGCATGGGTTTGCACATCACTGTTCACCCTCAAAGAAATTAGGGCAATGCAGAGAGAAACGTGCTGTTTATGAAGCTGGCAAAACAGTAACGTGCTGCTTGTGAACTTTTCAACGAGAACTGTTCTGAGCAGTGGAGTATTTCACATGTGGCATGTGGCAGTGCAGATATTCACAGCTGCCTGGCATAAAACTCACCCTCAGCATTCCAACAGGCAAGGTGTCAGGAGGATTAAATGAAACAAGTAGGTTCAGTGACACCCTAGAGATAGTAAATTATAAAGCTTCAGGTGTAAAACTTTCCTTTTAAAGGACATTTCTTTATGTGTCAAATAACCCTTGTTTGCAGTGTGATTCACAGTTGGAAAGCCTTGAGGGACTTGGACATGGGCCCAGAGCAATTGGGAAGACAAATACTAGCGTGAGAACAGCATTGGAAGCAGTCCTGGCATAGTGACTCCCTGGAGCCTGCAAAATGCATGTGGATTTGCCTTCTTCAGAGGAACTTTGATATCTTTCAATTTGGCTGAGGTGGGCATTTTTCATACAAAATCAGGTAAGCTGCAGACATTGGCAGCCAGTGGCATCACCCTGGACCTTACAGTGGTAAGTACCTCCTCAGTTTGCCCCTCATGTAGCTGGAGCCAGCTCGTGAGCTTTTGGCTTTCTCCTGGAAGTCTTCTGAGGCATAGCTAGAAAAGCTGGCCTTCTGCTGCCTGGGGAGTAGTTGTACTTTCAGCATCTTTACTGACAGAAATGTTATTGGGAGTAACTGTAAAGTGATGGTATCTGTTAAAATTCAGTTCCTGTGGTCTCTGTGAGATGGCAGAGTAAAACTGAGGTGAAACTGTTAACCTGGAACACTGTGGGCACACCCGAAAGGGATCCTGAGAGCGTGGCACCTGCATCAGAGTTGATCTACCCTCTGTGCATTTCGTAGGGAATGTAGCAAATTAGTGTCATTGGTTCATCCCCTTTTCCCCTTCACAGTGATGGACTGCTTGCTGAATAGTTTGCTTTCCCTTTGAAAGGGTCTGGGAAAAGTCCCATAAGTGACTATGGATTCTGCAGAGCAACAGCTTCCTTTGGAAAGCAGCTGTGCTTTCGGATCAGCACTGGCTACAGCTTGAAGTGTGCCTTAGAAGCTGTTCTTGCTGGGGGCTGTGCCTGCAGGTGAGCTCCAGGAGTAAGGAATTGACTGCTGATGGCTCTGAATGCATCTCCCCAACACCTTGCTTGGTGTCTGCTGTGCTCGTGCAGGTGTGCAACACAGACGTGCAGTGATAAATTGTCCTGCAAGGCTGACTTATCTGAGGGTTATGCTTTACAACAAAAAAAATTTGAGAAAGAACCAATAGACAAAATACATTTTAATTTATTAAATTAAATCCAGTCCATTTGATAAAATACAAGCTTATTATATTACCAGTTTGTTTAAACCTGGGTTGTTTTTGTTTTAAGAAATACAGTGAATTAAGAAGAGAGAATAGACAATTTCTCCTTTTTTTTTTCTTTTTTTTTTCTTGCTGTTAATTAAGTCCAGGATTGAAATGAACTTAAATTATTTGAACAAAACTGTTAAAAACATTATAAAGAGATTAAACAAGCAGATCGAATTCTTAGAAACATCTAACATGCAAAACTTTTAGTACAGTTTGAATGTTTCAAATTAATATCCTGAAAAATTAATCTCCTGAAATATTATTTTGGCAAGCACTGGGATTACTGTAGGTTCCCATGGGTCCAAGGATGAGTGTGGGAAGTGCCATCCTGTGTTTGTTCCTACCCAAACACAGCTTACTGCAGGTGTTCCATATTCTGGTGGTTGTGTTCGGTCCTGCTACAGCAAACAGAGATGGCACCATTAAATTCTCACACAATGCAGTGAGAAGATGCTGTCTGCATGTATTCCAAGTACAATCCACATGCCAACAGTTCAAAAATTGTTCTTATGGGAGTTATCAGCAATGCATACATGTTTGCAGAATCCCCAAGTTCATTAAATTTGCCTTAGGCTTCAGCTAGAAGGAAGTTTAAGAAAAAATGATCCTGTGGTAAAGTCTGTTTCATTACAGGTGAATGAATATCTGATCCCTGTTCAAGTCTGAGGATAGTTTCCCTTTGTTCTAGACAACACACGTGTTGCAAACACATAAAGTTTTTCAAATTTTTTTCCCAAAATAATTAGTAAAACCATTAAATAAGCCATAGACTAATTATATTGCATAACTTATTAATAGAAATTGTAAAGTCTTGATGAACAAAGGCTAAAAAATGGTTTCTTAAAACACGTGTACCTCAGCAAAAGTTAAATGCGCAGCAGTCTAAAAAAATCAGCTTCAGAACAATGACACTTGAAATGGCCTATCTCAGAAATGACAGATGGCTTACATTCTACATTACATTTTTCTTTAAGAAGAGTTTCTAAGTAACATTCGCTTGTGGTTGTTCCTAGCATTAGCATTACCAATATACAGGCAATAATTTAGGAATTTCAAGGCAATATTTTCCACCTTGCATATGCAAAGAGTTAACATTTATTAAAAGTGTAAGCATGTCCTTTTCATTAAAGGATCACAAATTGTTTTAGGTAAAATCCATGTACAATATTTACACTCACCCTAACAGCTGTACAAATTACATAAGTGTCTTAGATCCTCTGGAGGAGCCTGGTGGGTGCCTGGCTGTGTCCATGTACTTCTCTACAAACCAGCCTGTTATCAGGGCTGTCTCCTGGAGTTCAGCCCCCTCTTGCTCCTGCATGAGCCCTTCAGTTTTGGAAATATCCAGCCTTCCAGCTGGAAAGCCCCAAAACACTGCCTGTGCCAGAGTTTAATGACATTGGCTTCCTCCAGCTTCTAAAACAACCCTGGAAGTTCAGACCAGCCCCTGTGAAGCTGTGCTTCCTGGTGATGCCATTTGAGGTCCTACTTCCAAAACCCCTCAAGAAAGGGCCAGACTGCCCCCTGGTCTTTCTCTGGCCTACTTCGAGGGTGTTACTAAATAAAACTGGTTTGGGTTTTAATTATCTGTCCCGTTGTGATTGTTTTCCCTCCTACCCTGTGTAGCTACGCGTAGGGACATTGCCTGCAATCCTACCTTCGCTGCCCAAAGTCAATCTCCTAATGTGACGCCAGCTGGCATAGTAATGAACCTGCTCCTGTGAAAAACTAGGTCACTCCTCGCAGGGTGTTTTGCCAGTTCTAAACCAAGCGCTTTGCGGTTTGTTGTGTTAACAGAAAGTGTGTGTGCATATCATTAATCACTGGAGCTGCTGTTGATAACACCGGTTCTTTGATCTTAAC